ATTAGGTGTAACATTAAGGTAACATGGCTATAGTAACATTAGGTGTAACATTAAGGTAGCATGGCTATAGTAACATTAGGTGTAACATTAAGGTAACATGGCTATAGTAACATTAGGTGTAACATTAAGGTAGCATGGCTATAGTAACATTAGGTGTAACATTAAGGTAACAGTACACATTAGCAGGTCTGTGTTTGAAGGTATTACTGGTCCTGGTGTGTGTGTGGCTTTTCTGGTGTGTACTACGCATCATCACCACCGCACAACAGAAGCAGCGCCTTCCTGTAGTCCCCACCTGTGTCACCCTGCAAGGAACACAGCAATGTGTCAGTCAGTCGTTGGCGGAGTAACTCTGAATTTGTTCTACATTCAGAATATGACCCAGGTACAAGCCTGACCTAACACAGTAAGGACCAAATGGTTCCTGCCTGCACTGTTTAAGACACAATGCAACGTACCGATGTTTATCAAGAATAAGTATAATAAATTGATTCCTGTGGGGAAAATCTCTTTCCCTGCCCCATCCGGCTCTCCATGACACTCATGCAGGTGAGAGCCAGCTTGGCAGCGAAGGGCAGTCGTCTGCAGCGGCGCCCATGAAGCTGGGGGTTAAGGGCCTCGCTCAAGGGCTCACGGACATGCGACTATTCTACTAACCCCCGGCTCGAACCAGCAACCTTCTGATCACAGGCACAGAGGCTTAGCCCACAGAGCCGCCCCGCTAAATGTTTATGCCTGAAGTCCATAAGTGTACCTTGATCATGGAGTACAGGGATTTGGCAAACATCCGCCTAAAGTTGGCTCTGATGTCCAGCATGTCCAGCTCACTCCTGGATACCATGATTCGAACCAAGGTGTGGTCGTCTGTACCAGCTCCCTGTGGAATAAATGCAAACACCCCCACAGTTAGTCATGGTGCACAATTAATGCCATTTAATCATGCCTGCCATCTGTGAAGCAAGGGCTTCTGGGAAAACTGGACAGAGGGCTGTCCTCTTGGCCATGCAAGCTGTCACTGACACAACCCAAATGAAAACACACTGGTGGGTCCGTACATGACTCAAGAAGCACAACGTGTGCCCATCTAGCAAAGTTCACCGAGTATCAGTGGCTCACACTGTGAGAGGGGAAAAGAAAGTGTTATGGGAAGAGAATCCTACCTTCATTGAGTGGTACAGGCCTTCAGCGAAATAGGCTGGGACACTTCGCGCACACTTCACTATGAGGAGAAAAGAATAGTTTCATTCAATAAAAAAGGAGTTCAATCAATATGTGCATTTTTAACAGTCTCTGAAACACTGGGTCAGCACAAACTGCTGGAAAAATAAAATGCACCTTTTATTGCAGGCAGCCTAAATTGCCCAGCATGTGTGCATGTTTATGCCCTGCGATAGACTGGAATCCCAGTCAGAGCGGGTCCCTGCCGTGGGCCCTGTGCTGCTCAGTGACAGGTCATTCTGCAACCCTGGCCAGGACGAGCAGTCAGAAGGTGGATGGATGGATGGACACTGGAGCAGAGCTGTGTGCTCACCTACAGCAAGCATCAATGCCCTCAGACTCCCGGAGGTTTCTCTCTGAATGCTTTCTTCAATCTGATACCCCGACAACTTCATGTATGCGTCAAAAACTGAAAAATACCAAATAACATGGCGGATGAGTTTTCTTGTTAGAAATGACTTGAGACCAGTTTCCCACATTATTAAGATGGCGATCAATATGAAACAAAGCCCCCGTTTTATCCAGACAAACACGGCGGCCTCTAGCACAAAGCAAGACAGAAAAGCCGCAGACCTTTCCGGAGATGCTCTGCACTTCTGTTGCCCAAGATGGTGATGAACGTCTCCTCATCTGTGCCGAACTTGGCCTCCCCAGCAGCAAACAGGGCCTGGGGGGGGGGAGCTGTGTCACATGACTGATTTCCATCCATTGATACTTGACTGAAAGTAATGGCCCGCAGAATAGCATCGCATGAAACATACAGTGAAGAATAAACATTATTATGTGATATAAACCTTCGATATTTCCAGCTACATCTCACTTTGGGGGCTTAGGGCTCATTTTGGGGGAGAGGGGATCCTCAAGGACATGAAGTTATTCTCAGCCAAATTACTGACCTTAGCATCCTGTTCGATGGCCCCATTGTCAACTCCCTGTTGCCGACTTGCCTGAAATGAAGATTAAAATCAGTCTGCTTTTACACTACAGCAGAGTCTCGCTCAGCCCTGCCCCCTTCTGGGGAATATTCTCACTAAAAATACACCCCAAAACATCATTTTCTACAGCAAACCTCGACTCTGTTGAAAGTCCTGTAGTAAATGTATATTTTATATGGCCAGTGCCAGACATGTACCTTCCATTAATTTAGTTCTAATTTAAATGCATCTATTTCCTTATTATTCTGTTTGTACTGAGTAATTTTTAAATTCGTTTGCACATTTTCCTGTCTGCCCTGTGTGTGCCGTCTTTGCGCTTTGTCTCATTTTGGATTATATGTTTGTTTGTCTGCATTTTATGTATCTTGCTGCTGTATGCACAAGGATTTGCTCTGGGGATCAGTAGAGTTTCTTATTTTAGTTCAGCTTCACTGGATCCAGTGGCCCGCACGCACAGCGCAGCAGGTGCTACGTACCTGAAGGAGGATGACCAATAAGCGCTTGAAATGGCCGGAAGTGTCTCCAGTGACATCATCCTCGAGATTTTTCCCAAACTCTGAAAAGCAGAAGTGCGATTTTCCACTTTATCTCTGACTCACACACACTTGTGATTCCACTTCTCACTCCAGATACGCGAATACTGGATTGCATAACTCGTGACTAAATCAGGACCGAAAATCTTTGATCGCGTGTTCTCCAATTAGTTTTCTTCGTAGAAAGTGTCATGCACACATTCGACTATCTAAATAGGTTCTGGTTTAAATCAGCACACAAACAGACGTCAGTCTGATCCAGTCATCAAGGACATGACTGGCCTCACCTTGTTTGTAGGCTGCAATGATGTCCCGGATCTGGGCGGGCGTCCTGGAACCTAGGATCTCAACCAAAACCTTCTCATCTGTCCCAGCGCCCTGGAAACCATGAGTAAGGGAGACCCCAGGTGGTCAAACAGGTGAACTGTCCGGGTTCCATTCTGACACACAATTCATACGTTACAATGGACGCATGTCGGAATAGGATAAATTGCACTGACTTTTAGGTGTGAGAATGAGACGGGAACATGCGTGTGATAGATCTCACAGGCAAAATAAACAAATCACAAAGTAGGATGAAAAGTCTCCCTTCACTACCTTGATTGCATCCCTGAGCTGAGTCGCATCGAAGATGGTCGGCGGCATCATCAAGCTGACAATCAGCGTCTCGAATTTCCCGCCAAGTTCAGATTTCAATTCATCCACGAGATCCTGCAAACAAAAGCACGGTAAGCATTCTGTACACACCCGGCGGAACGCAAGTCTTTGTGAAGGTGCATTGTAACTGAAGTTACATTTAGAGTGAATAAAGGCAGTTAGTAAAAGTGTAGCCTGTGAATGCTTGATATTAATACCGGGCATATTTACAGCACATGGATTATACAGCAGAGGTCTGGTTTCCCCACACAAAATGTGAGAGAAGTACTGAAGAATGTATCTGCCTTTTGTTATACTGATTGCCATTGTGCTGACACGGAGCGACAATGGGGTAAAGCAACAAGTTAGATCAGATATAAAACCAATTACAATACAATGAAACCTTACTTTTATCATAGAAATTGATCATTATAATACCAGGTCATAGATTTCACTCAGCAAGTTGCAAATGACATACACAGTACTTAGAATTAAACCCTTTTCAGATTTTAATACCACTTAGCAAACATACAACATGTGCTCAGTGATAACTTTAATCTTTTGAATGTAGAACCTTGTTTCCTAAGTTATCTTTAAAGCAAATATGTTAAACTGGTTGTTTTTTCCATTTGATTCACTACTGGATGTCGATCCAGCATTGGCCGTTCTCGGTCATCACGGCCTCTCGGAGAGCCACCATTGGCTGTTCTCTGTCATCACGGCCTCTCAAAGAGCCACCATTGGCCGTTCTCGGTCATCACGGCCTCTCAAAGAGCCACCATTGGCCGTTCTCAGTCATCACGGCCTCTCGGAGAGCCACCATTGGCCGTTCTCGGTCATCACGGCCTCTCGGAGAGCCACCATTGGCCGTTCTCAGTCATCACGGCCTCTCGGAGAGCCACCATTGGACGTTCTCGGTCTCAGGTTAGTCTCACCTTCCCATGAAGAGTCTTGAACGCAGCCTTGATCTGCTGCCGCTGGCTGTTGCTGCGGGCGGTCAGGAGCTGGAGGATGGCGTCCTCGTCGGTGCCTGGACACCCAAAGCGAGACACCAAAAGCCATGACAGGTCAAAGTCAACTTCAGATATGATGCATGCGTCATACATCGAGGTGAAACATCGGCCTCGCTGGTCATTAGCACCACAGTGAGTCCTTCCTCTGATCTGCCGCTCAAAGCGGCGTGAACCCAGGCTCTTTGAAAAATGCCAAAAATGAGAAGTGATAAGGACAAGCATTAAGACAAAGAAATGCAGTGAACCATCGGAATGGTGGAGGAAGATTGAGCAAATATGACACGGCATTAGATTAACAGAACGTGCTGTAAGGAAATATTTAGTTTAAGAGTCATGAGACTTTAACAGACCCTGACTTAGGCTGGGAGGAGACATACTGTTTAACAGGTGAACAGTCTGATGGAAAAAGTGGTTGAGAGTATTAATGAGAACTAATAACTGTGGAACAAAGCAGCCAAACTCTGCCAGAAGGGCGGATGGCTGGAAACACCCAGAATAACGGTCTGCATGATCCAGGGGGGGTTTAAATCAGCTTTGAAGGATGCACCATCCTTAGTGCTGTAACCAGTGCTGTCCATTCATCCAGCCGGTTCTGGAAGACCCACGCGTGACTGGTAACCATGGTCTGGAAAACACCATTTCCAGCCCATAATAATAAACAGCTACTTTTCAGCTGTCCCCGTCTCATAAAATGCATTTCTGTCGTTTGTTTTCTTCCTAATTTAGTTGTACGTTACTTGGCACCCAGTTTGGGTCCTCCCCATTACCTGACCAATCAACTGCCACCTGGGAGAGCACCGTTTGGGTCCTCCTCATTACCTGACCAATCAACTGCCACCTGGGAGAGCACCGTTTGGGTCCTCCTCATTACCTGACCAATCAACTGCCACCTGGGAGAGCACCGTTTGGGTCCTCCTCATTACCTGACCAATCAACTGCCACCTGGGAGAGCACCGCCCTCCCATACTTCCTGCAGCTGGCAACTGGCAGACCACCAACAGGCCAACAGCCACCCCGAAACCTAGTAATTAACTGTGCTTGTCCTGGATTATCTAGGCAGTCTAATTACTTGGTTACCCTGCAACACATTTATCCCCCTCGCACCACACCCACCTGTACATTGCGAGAGATTTAGTCCGTTCAAGCGAGGACCTTCTACTTTATTATGGTACGTGCCATTGAGGCTACAGGAAACATTTCAAAACTGTACTTAAAAAGCAGTTATTTGGGGGAAAGGGGTATTTTGATGGTCATCTTGCAGATAAAATTCACAGTGGGGGAGGAGAACTCCCCCCTCACAATAAATGAATGGCAAATTTGATTGCAAGGGACCACCACCCCACCCTCAAAACATCCCCCACCCAAGCCGATTCCGCTGCTTTTGCTCATGAATCCACAGAAAAGTTGACAGCAGCAGGCTACACTGGACACCAAGCCCTTTAATACAGTGGTTCCCAACCCCCAGTACCGGTCCAGTGTTCCACTGGGCCACAGAATGATGGCGGTAGATCGTCACCCATCCCGTATGTCACAGGATCATCCCATATGAAAAAAGAAAACCCCGTGATCCATTAAAATAAGTGATTTGTTCCATATTTCTGTAGATATTTTATGCCACCCTACGCGCCGCAAATATAATCCCCCATTTGACCGGTCTGTGCATTTTTTGTATGACATAAACCAGTCCACAGAGATCAAAAGCTTTGGTCCCCCCCCCCCACAAGTCCGGGTGGGACTCAAAGGACTCCGTAGACTCCCAGACTCCGCCCCCTTGCCGAGTCTCAGCAATCCTCGGCCTCTCGTCTCTTGTCACGATTATTTAAACAGCCTGTGTCAACACGACGTCGAATGAGCAGGGCCTCACTGAGCGGCACAAAGTGCATGAGAAACCTGAACTTGTACAAACAGCATCCAAACAGTCCAAAGTGAGCATGACAGGATCCGAGGCGGGCGGCTGCACACTCACCCAGCCCCTTCATGGCCTTGAACAGGACCTCAGCATCCTGGTTCGCATTGAAGTTGGCGAACGGCTTCACGGTCCCTCTGGCAGCCTGTAGAGAAATTCAGGCGTTTAAATTCAACATAAAACATCAGAAATGTTAACTGTGACCTTCTCTTGTTGCTGCACATTAGTACCTTGGATGGGGGGTGGGGGGGGGATTGGGGGCAGACCCCTCCTGAAATCGGGGCGGCTGTAGCGGGTTGGCTGAGAAACAAAATCGAACCAACCGGAGCAGAGTCTGGGTCCCTCCCTCTAAATCAGATTATCCATTCCCTGCATCTCCATTGCCCTTGAGCAGTTAAACGGCCAGGCTACGATCACACAAAAGCTCGGGGAAGCCGAGGGAGTGCACCAGCACGATTAAAGCCTTTCATTCTCTACACTTCTCCTTATTTTCCACCCCGGAAGCAAAACAAAGCCTAAACTTATCTTTGGGGACGATCGAAGCCGCAAAGGCTCCAGCTTCACTGGTACCGTTATAAACCATGAATGCGATGAATCATTTCCTCGTGCTTCTCGAGGCCCCAAACCGCTGTCTGAGACCATTCTTGACTTTTCCTTCCTGCTGTATTACACTGAATATTTCAGGCAATTAAGCCCAGAAGAAAATCAATCATATTATTAACAGTAATAAATCAATAAAACAAGACTGCAGGTCGCAAAACACAGGCCTTCTGTGCCAATCCAGCAGTCAAAAGTTATGGTTTGACTCCGAACTCAGTTGCCTTGGCAACAGGAAGGTAAACAGGAAAAAGTATCTGGGCACGTTATAAACACACACGGCCCCCGGCTGCTCTTTCTGATGCATAATGTACATTTTCCATCATTTCCCATAGACCACAAAGAACAACACACATCATTTGTCTTAACTTGCAATCTATTTATACTGAATGGAGCTAAAGTTTTTATGTGCCAGACGAGCAAATATCAGTGAGATATTAACACCCTATCGAGAGAACATGCCACCATCACCTTCTGGTAAACAGTCTCTCCTTGGGGCACAGACCCCATCCAAGTGAAAATGAAAACATGCGCCTTCAGATTAAATACAAGCTGTGC